AGGCAGGTCAGCCTAATACTCCATGGTAAGCTGATTTGTGGTCCACCACCAAGAACTCCATGAAGTGGTGGGCTACTAGGGGGGCTGACCCCATCTCGACGGGTAGAGTAATTCACCCTCGTGGGACGATACTGTCGCCCGTAAATCCAAATAGCGGGTTGGTCATGGGGATCAACCCATGTTCAATTTGCATCTTATCAAAGGTAGATCCGAACAATATATTCACCGAGCTGCCATTGTTGACGAGTATGCATTTGAGTCTATTTCGAGCTACTACGGCTCTTACCACTAACGCATCACAATGAGAGTGGTGAACTCCTTGTGCATCTTCTGGAGATAAAGTGATCGGGGCCATCCTTTTAGCCACTTAGGTCTGATCGACAATGTAAGTAATCATTGGTGGATCCTTTCCTTTCCTTGTGTAGTTCTTCTGGGCATTCCTGGTATTGCCCCCGATGTGAGGTCCTCTAATGATTGTATCAATTTTCCTGATAACTTGGCCTCCAGATGGGGCTTGATCCCTATGTCTGGATTCTCTTCGGGGCGATTGGCCTCTATATCGCCTTTCTCCCTTATTCGGGGAAGTGGACCTATGAGGTATTCTTCTCTCCGTGGGTTACTTCGGTTCGAGGATCAAGGAACATCCCTACATTTTCGGGTGTCGTGCCCGTAAAGTTGGTGAAAGATGCAGAACCTTACCCCTTCCAAAGGCCTGTTTGATCGCTTTTTTTTCTTCTTTCGATTGTTGCTTGTTCCTTCGGATGGTCCTGCTTCAGTGGGAGCATTTTCATATGCTAGTACTGGCACTGCATTTAGAGTGGCTGAAGCCAACGCCTGTCCGGATGTGGGGGCTACCGTGTGACCGGCCTGGGTCCATTGCTGGGTGACGAGGTATGCTGCCGGTATTCAACCTACCTTTCGCTGAGGTGGAGGGAGTCCCTGCGCTGCACGATTTCGATGGTCAATCATCTCTTCATTAACAATCTCTACCCACATCATTTCTACTAGTTCGTCATAGGTAGTGGGATTCTTGCTACGTACATTCCTCCAGAACAAAGTGCTCATGTTGAGGCCACCTTTCAAAGCTGAAAGGGTCTCTCTGTCAGTGACTTGCTCGCAATATGTGATTTCATTGGTGAATCTGGCGAGATAGCTTTTCAGCTTCTCGCCCGGAGCTTGCCTCATGTCTTGCAGGCGTTGCACTGTGGCCTCTCCTTCCCTTCGTGAAAGGTATTGATTTAGAAATGCCTTGGCTAGCTTCTGATGCTCAGGGCTGGTAATATGTTGTACCACACTTTCGTAGATCCGGTGAGGGTTAGATGGAAAGCCCTACATTTTAGTGTCGATGAGGCTCATTTGTATCATGTACTTAGTCAGGTGTTTCTGTGGGTCTCCCTTTCCTTCATACTTTGAGATTTTAGAGGGCATGAAGTTTGCAAGCATCGAGCAGCTTTGGATTTTTCTAGAGAAGGTAAGGTTGTCATCATCGTCATCAATTTCGTAGGAGCGACATGGCCCTTCGGAGCCCTCCTCCTCCGATTCATTTTGGGGAGGTGGAGGTGCCTCTTCTCGACTACCCCAATCCACTAGATTTCGCCTCTCCCATCTATTTCTAGGCGGAGGAGATACTTGTCCTTGTTCCTGCTCTTGTCGAACTGATTTTTGCATGGAGCGGACCCTATTGCTAGGGTTCTACCCTATTCTGTCGAAAACACTGACAGGCCTTTGTGGTTTGTATTCTGGTGGGAAGTTCTCTCCTAGCGGTGGTTCTGCTGGTTGGCTTCCCTATGCGTAGGATGTGACATCAACACCCACTTCTCTTTCAAGGGGGTGTTCCCGTCTTCGGCTTTGACCATGAGGCGCAGGAATTTCTTGGGTTGGATATGGCCCTTGATGCATTTGAAAGCCCTGATGACCTCGGGTCTGCATGAAGAATTCATGCATCACCACATTCTAAGCAGCAATATCCCTTATTCCAGCAGCTGTTTAAGCCATTCCTTCAGTGAGCATTGCTGTCCTGTTGCCTCGGTGATGCCGGCGATGAGGTCTCCGATGTGTGACATTGGTCCTAATTATCTCTTCTTCAGAGGCATCCCTGTGCGCTGCGTAATTTACATCTTCATTACTCTTAACTCATTTTGTATACCTTTTCGAGGGTGTTAAGAACTTTATAGGTTGACTTTGTTCTTTTTCAAGAACTTGCCCTTTTCAGGGTAAGTCGGTGGTTTGCCGGTGGCTTTTTCAGTGGACAATATGGAACTTTTAGATGGAAAATTTTCACAGACAGCGCCAATCTGTTGACCTCGAGATTTGGACCCTCTATGTGGCCAGCAGATAGCTACTCCACGTAATCCTCCTTGCGCACAACAACACAAGATCAGAAGGACACGACTGGAACCAGCGGCGATGGTGGCGGCCACATATACTCCGAAGATCAAGTCAGCATTGGGTGATCGGCACAATGCTCAAGTTATGCAAGAGAGTGGGGAGGAGAATATATATTTCTTAGTATGGAGAGCTAAATTAATAAGAGTTTCATTACCCCTTTCTTTTGCCAAACCTTGGGTATTTATAGATGTAGAGCACCGTTGGATATGAGACACATGTATGTATCTGACAGTGTGAGGCGTCTGATCATAGGCGTTAATCAACCGCGTCTATAGTGGACGGACAATTAGTCCTTCTGAGTTGAGTTGATATAAAGTCGATACGTCAAATCAACTAGACCTATGGAGATGTCACATCGATTGATCTTTGGAGATATCTGACAGTGGCGACGAGAGGATCTGTCAATGGAGTGCTTCGGAGTGTTTAGCGCATTGGAGTTGAGGGACACTTCAGGTACTTTAGTAAATCTACTCTTTACCTTGTGGCGCGCCATGTTGAGGTTGTCAGGACCCTACGACGCACTATGTTGAGGTCGTCAGGACCTGCGACGTGCTATGTTGAGGTCGTCAGAAGTGGGCATCACTTCGGAACCACTTCAGACGAGCACGTGGCATTTCGGGAGGTGACGTAACTGTTTTTCCGAAGTGATTTAGTTAGGGGTGTAACAATATCCACACATATTTACTTCTCCACTAATTCCATACTATTTTTATCACTCAAAAGGCTAGATTTTGGAATTAATATTATTCTTGTCCTCTATAGAAGAATAAGAATTCCTGGCTGTAAAAAGCCAGTTTAGGTTTGAACGTGGAATCACATTTGTACCGAGTTTAGAACTAAGAAATGGACAGAAATTTTTCGAGTTCATTTTTGTTTCTTCTACTCTTGGGTTTTCGTAAGTCTTCGAAATCATGCATCCGTTTATATATATACACACATACACACAATTTTCTGTTAGCTTTAGTTTAATTTTACTTTTTGTGCAAATGCAGAAGAGATGGTGATGCAAGGTGAAGCAACATATTGCCACTCAAAAAGTAGCTTGTTTAAAGATTGCAATTGTGGAACACTTTGCAGGAGAGAAGGATTCTTAGAGGGAGAATGCAGATGGTTAAGGTGCATTTGCACCAAGATTTGCAATGCAGAAGGCGGCGGAGGTGGGATTTTCGGACAACCGCCAGTTCAAGGACCTCCCGATAGCGGCGGACCTCCTGAGGGATATTCTCCAGGTCAAGCTCCAGCAGGTGCACCAAATCGCGATGGACCTTCTGAAAGTGCAAGTCCTCCAACTCCAAGTGGTGATGGGATTTTCCGGTGGCGATGGACCTTCAACTATTAAACGTATCTCTCGAAAATTCTAGTTTCTTTCATTGTCACAACAGCAAAGGGAAAAGAAAAAAATATGGAAAGTAGAGAAAAAGAACAAATTTCAACTCTTAGGCAGGTGCTGCCTTGTATTTTCTCTTTTCACAGTTTCAAATACAATTTTCCTAATTTCTAAAGATGGTATTATAATATAAAGAATTGACCTCCTACCAATGAGATTATAATGCCCATCGCTGATGAAGATGTGCACCATCATGTCAACGGATGAGATAAAATAGTAAAAAAAGGAAGGGGGGGGGGGGGGGGGGGGAGGGGTCTAATAAGAGTGTAAAATATAATATTGTATCCTTTTAATTATGGCATTGGTGTGATTATTTGATATCAAAATGCACTCATTGTACTTATGCTTTGATTCAAGTTGTATTTCGGTAGAAAATGTGAAATTTAGAAGAAAAGAACGAAAAAGAATCAAAATACAGAAAAAGAGAAGGAAAAAAAAAAAAAAAAAGGGGGGGGGGGGGGGGGGGGGGGGAAAGGGAAAAAAAACCATTGATGTGGCAGCATCACCTATTGCCACATCAGCGGTGGACATTATATCTCATGCTCACTATGAACTGTAGATCTACTCTGTTCAAATATATTGTTTATGATTTCGAAGCAACCTTTTGCATTTTGATATCGCCATACAAAATGATTAGTGCTCTGGTTCTTGTTAATCAAATTAAGCATATATTTGATCCACGATCATTTGATTGGTGAGCTCATTGAAGCCTAAATTATATATGAACAATGACAATATTGAATTCTTCGCTGATACCCTTTATGTGAAATCCACTCTCAGATAAAATAGCAAGTCACTTTCAAATCCATGGCAAAATTGGGAAACGTGAATTGGAGTTCTCGGGGTGTGTCATGAAATTTATTAGGATTGCCTTTTAGCAAAATATGCAATAAAATTTTCCCAAATTAAAAATCTCAGAGCGTGCGAAATATTTGATTTTAATATGGATCAAATTGGCTCTAAATTCTTTGCAAAATCCAATTCTTTTAGATTGATTCTTCCCCCACCTCATGAAGAGATCTCAACGAAAATGTGTATAATTACCACTATTTTACATGACTCCGAGACTATCATCACTTTATATGTCGACAACAGGGTGCATTGCTGTCAAACCAACTTGTGAAAACAAGTTTTGACAGTCTAAAAACCATAATACTTGCACAAAACGACAACATTTTAACTTCTTTTCGTTCCTTCACTGTGTTCACTATTGTATGCTCAATCCTAAAACAAGCAAATTCATTCTTTACTCAAAATGTCTCAACAATCGCTTCTATAGAATGGTACGTATAATAGTCAACAACAAGAAATACGAATGAATAGTTCAAAATGATCTATAGTATTTTACATGTGATTGCTTCTTGTCCTGTTTTCTATTCTGAACTTCAAGAAATGATCGACTTATAGGCAACGACCAGCATTTGTTACACAACCCCAGCAATCCATTAATGCTTGTAGCTACTATCACTTGATTTTCCCTTTTGAATTATACCATTTTCAGTCAAGTAGTCAACAAATTCGTCGATAAGATATGGCCAAGCACGTTCAGGATCATAGTTTGATAATGTAGGATCAATATTCTGCATATACACAAAAGAAAACCTGTCATGAACTGCTATTTAAATAATCGTGTATAGTAGGTATACTATATTAAAATCATATTCTTGTGCAAGCTCAAGGGTCCCCAAGGGTGAGAAGGCTGGAATGCTGAAATGTTCACATTTCGATCAAACAAATTACAGAAATGCAAATAGAACAGAGATGCTAAAATTTTAGGTGTAAATTTAGAAAAACTGTGGGAAAAGGCAAGAGAAAGGAGGTTCCGTCCCAAACAAATCTCTTAAATCATTCATTTCAGGCATCGTAATTTACTCTTGCAAACTCCAGTAGCTGGGACCAGGTGTCCCGAGAGATTGCTTTGTTGTGGCGCTCCTGAATCCAAAAATCCAATAAGGAAAAAAAATGTCACAAGTGGAAACAGAAAAAAAACCTCTCTCCGGTTCTTCATAAATAATTCATGCTATGGGAATGATCAAGCATACGGAATTACAACAAACCACGTGTGAGAGATTAAGCTAAAAACACAATCCCACACCCTTACCAGGAAAAATAATAAGCGTGCTAAAAGACAACGTTGAAAAAAGGTAGCAAAATTTTAGTTTATTTATTTTTTGATAGTGGGGGAGCAAATTAACTACATTGACCGCAAATTCCCACGGTCAATAGTTTTAAAGAAAGCGTTGAATGATACAAGGTCCCTCAGAATCCTCTTGGTATACTTCTTCCATTCGTTATCCAATTTCCTGCCATAAACCAAGCAGTTGGACTTTTGCGAAATAATAAGACCATCCGCAATGGAGTTCTTGATTGGTATACAAGTACCTGAGACCTCAAATTACCTAAATAACACGCCAGTTGAATTAATGTTCCGTTACTTCTTACAGTTCAATTTTTTAACTGGACAGTAGCAGGTTGAGCGGTACAAAATTATGAGATGGAATTTTTGCATGGTAGAGACAAAATACAATGTGTGTATTGATTGGTTTTAAAGATGAAAATAAAAAAAAATAGGACAAAGGGCGAGGATCCAAATGCTGTTTGTTATACCTGTAAGAACTGGCACCAGTAATCAACTAATGGCCACTGCTTTTCTGCAAATAGCAACTGCCACATCCCAATTGCTGTATCTAATGCTAAAGACTTCTGACCCTGAAATCAAGATAGAAAATCAGCAACCTGAATTCCATACTAATATATCAGCTGGTAGAATGCAAGTTAAAAGACAATCTGATTCATCCACAAGATGAAATTTTTCAGACGCCTGGTTGAAGATAAAAGACGGAAAGAGAAGGCTTTAAGTGTTTAACTCTCCATTGTTTCTCCCATTTGGATAATGGACATCTTACTTAGACCCTGTTTGGTAGCCATTTTCTTCAAAATGCATTTCTCTCTCTCTCTTCTTTTCAATCACACATTATTTATTAAAATAATATTACACGTAAATCAAAAACTTTTCCTTATTTTTCAACCACACATTTCACATCAATTTACTATTCTAAAATATATTTTTACATAAAAATGCCTATTAAATACCCCCTTATTAGTGGCTGCTTATAAGGTACATGTAGCAACTATGGGTTTCTAATTCATATCAACAATTTTTAATACAAAGTTAATAAACAAGGCAGCATAAACTGAAGATTGGATAAAAAATATCTTTTGAAAGTTCAAAATTAAGTTATAAATATTTAGCCCCTATTTGTCTTCCATTTTTTCAAAACTTTATTTTTCTACACACTCATTTTCAATCACATTCACATGATAAAGTGCTTGTTTGGTTTGGATTAAAATAATATTTTCATCTAAGTTAAAATTAAACAATCAATATTAACCAAATCTTTCATGGGTCCCACAAATTTTCAACCACACACAATTCAAAAACTTCTATCACAATCTACCAAAAAATCTAATTTTAATCTCCACTAAACATCCTCAATATATTCTACACGTAATCCAAAATTTTTCCCACTTTTTAACCTCACATTCTCCAAAAATTCACTATTCAAAACAATGTTTTTCCAACAAATTGACCACCAAACAGGGCTTCAGTAAGAAACCTGCTCAAATGCAATTATTTAATACAGAAATGTATTCTATTACTTTCAGCCCCCGTTTGAACCCCATTAGTTGAAAATGAAAATGGGGGGAATAGAATTTTTTAGAAAAATGAGTGGTTGAAAAAGAAGGAAAAGTTTTCTATTTACGTGTAATGTTATTTTATGAAAGATTGTGTAGTTGAAAATAGGAGAGAGAAAAATGGAATGTAATGTAATTGAATTTAATGCGGATCAAACGGGGTCTTAGTTAATGACGCAATTTAATTAGTTTCTTGAGCTTCCATGCTTTCAAAAAGTACATTATCAATAAATTATTACTTGAAGGCAGCATTTTACTAGAAGGTAACTCCATACTATCATCGAGCCATAAATTCTGTTTTGTTGCTTTTCAGGGATATCAGTTTTAGAGGGCTTGATGCATTCCAAAGTTTTCCTACTCAGTTAAAAAATATTAAAAATAAAAAATTGCAAAATAATTTCAGAAAGAACATTTATGGTCCAATCCAAGCTGACGAATTTCAACTACAAAGGGGGAAGTTCAAATAATCAAACCAAAAACGTTACCTTCTCTTTTGCCCAGTCAAAAGCAAAGTCATAGATATCTCCGAACTTTTCTGGACAGAAAAAATCAAAGAGATAGTTTAATAATTGGAAAAAAAAGGGTCTTCTATAAATCTTCAGATGGTTAATGCCAACTAGGGCAACTAATATTATTCACAACCACAAATTTTGAAGCATGAAACGGATCTCCACTAAAACAACCCATTTTACCCATAATTTTGACTTCAAATAACAACAATGAGAAAGCCCAAGGCAATGGCAGTGATCATTAAGCATACGACATCATCAGTGCAAAAATGCAACATACAAAAAATAAATATAGCACTGCAATCGAGATAAGCGTAATTTCTTAGACCAAGAACAGAGAATTCCATATCATCACATACGTTTGTCTTTAAGTTCAGAACGCATAAATGGTATTCTTTCCCTGAACTTCTCCAGTGAAGCTATCCTGCCATTAAAGACATAAATGCCAATAAAATAATGGACAAAACCTGCAATTCAGGATCACCCAACAAAAGAAACATGATAGACTTGATTCATATTACCTGAGAGACAGTAATCCACCAACGAATTCCTGCCTTGAGAATTCACACATGGTAGCAGCCTCCATATGCCATGAGACTACCAACTGCAGATTAAACAAATCAAATCTCAACTAAGATCACATAACAACAATTAACATATTCATAAATGTAAAAACTTTAATTGATTGCCTCATGAATATACATATAAATATTCATATATTAAAACTTGTATTGATTGCCTCATGAATAGACTAATAATATTCAGTACCGTATTTTAATGGAATAACGTAGTTTACTAAATTTTTCTCTACTTTTTAACCACACATTCTCTAAAAAATAACTATTGGAAAACACATATTCCCCAAAAAAGGGATTCAACCAGAAGCTTAATTTCACCATAACCCCATAAGAGACCCGAACCCAGATTTTAATTCTAATTATGATATCATTGGCCAAAATTCCTAAACTTATTTTCAATTTTGATAAATAAAGGTTACTTATTTTAAAACTTATTTTGTAACGTTTAACACTTCATTAATGGTGGAGGACTCATTCAAAACCATCTTAAAACTTGTATCATTTTTTTCATTGTGACGTTCCAACACCATTGATAGAGCAGTAAATGGTCTAATTTATCAAAAATCTATACTCCAAATGGATCAAAGAATTATATTTCGGTGAGGCCATGACAGTCCTAATCCCTAAACGATATGCTATGTGAATTCATCTTCTTTTTTTTCGACCATTTGCAAGTAATCACGTAGTGTCATGAACTTCCAAAGGTGTGTAGGAGGAATATTCACGATGTTTGGCAACAGAAAATTAGAGAAATGATGGAACTGCCATGTGGCATAATCAACATGTGTCAAAGGCATGTTGGCCACGTTTCGATGCTCCATAGTGTTGTAAACTTCAAAAAATTGCCTCACAATCAGCATCTTAAAGTATTTTGCAAGCCTTAATCTGAGGCGAACCTTAAGATGAGTTTCAATTGGCTTCGTTAAACCATGGGAATAAGGAATATGAGTATTGTACTTTATTTATGTAGTTGGAAATAGACATCTCAGTCTCTTAATTCATCATTTGAAAGCGAGAAGTTTCGCATAGAGGAATATAGGCATTACGATAGCTCTTACACATATTAAAAAATATTCTATGCAAAGGATAGGTAACAAATTATATTAAAAAATATTCTATGCAAAGGATAGGTAACAAATTGAGAAAAGATTCTGGTAGTTGAAAGAGCTAGGGTGCATTGACAAATTCTCGGGAGAATGTGCATAAACTATCCTCACGAATAGACCAATAACATTCAGTACCGTAATTTAATGGAATATCGTAGTTCCTTCAGGATACTTGTTGCTCAAAATTGGGTTTTGCATCTTGTGATACAAAAAGGACAAAATATGAAACAGTTTATCATTGGCAAACACATCAAAATAAAAAAGAGCTATACAAGAAATCGAACTAGATTTGAATTTCTCGATTTCGAGATATTTTACCCCTTGATGACACAATTCCATCAATTCCTGCATAATCAAGAAATTTAGGTGTACTACTAAATTTGAGTGCACAATTTAAATGCCATACCATGACTATATCCTGAGGGTCCACCTGCCAAGAAACAAAGGTATTATGTTATTCAAACAATGGTATTCAGTTAGAGACGTTAATTTTTTTCCTCTCAGGCAAGATGAAAGAGTTTCACCCCTCCCCCAAAGGAGGCTCGAACCCAGGCCATCGGCTCGGTCAAGCTTCGCACTAGCCACTTGAGCTAGGCCATAGCCTTTCAGTTAGGGATATGGTTAAGAGACTACAAGCATTATTTGAATAACTGTGTTCGTGTCTCATGGGGAACATATGATAACAGATACCCCATGAGACACTTCAAAGTTATTCGATTAATGCTTGTGTGATATTCTTAAAATATGAATTAGCGATACAATGAATGATAAAGTATTTATCAAATCTACCCGTAGATCATTGCACAGGTAACTGATCCCATCAGCCAAAATCATATCAATGTGTGAATCTGTAATTCATGAATGCCTATGTAAGATTTAATAATTAAAATAGAATCTGTGTTTCACCAATATGATAAAAGAGGCTGAAATTCTAGGGAATGAGCAGTTGATGAAGAGAATATAGAGGATTACTAGCACAGACTATATTTGATAGGTAGTCAATGCATGTACTAATCATCATTCAACATCAAGAATAGTTTGAAAATGAGAAACAAATGAACATGGTAGGCAGATAGACAAACTATCTGCAAGCATAAATGAGTTGCATGTATATCAAGACAAAGTAAATTGCCTTTGTATTGATGGTACAGTTCATCCAAACGCTTTATGTTAGCCAGAGCTTCGATACGCGGCTGTCTGTGCAATACATTAAATGCTCCTTCAAGATGCCAATCAGTGGCCTTCAAAGCCTGAATAGCGAATTTTTCACTGCATCCAAAATAAAGAATAAGTAAACCTATGTAGTAAGTCATCATCCACCACTCCACTCCAGGCTACACAAATTTGGTACTTGAACAATCAATAAGATTATGAAACTCACCAAAAAAAAAAAAAATGAAGAAGGAGGACAAAATAGGCTGACATACTCAAAGGAAATATTTTTTGAAAAAAATTAACCCAACTGTTTAATTAATCGTATGGATATGCAAATGCACCAAAAGTGCATGCAAAACTACTACTTGTTACACCAGCATGCAGCCAAAAGCATCACAGATATATAGTTGAAACTAAAAAGTTCTACAACTTGGTCCAAGTAATTATATTTTAAAATATAAATAGGAAACTGTTAGGAATATAACTCAAATAAGAGTCTTTTGAAGAGGCGTATTCGACTTGGACTAGGAGAATATTAACCTAGGGCTTAAGGAAACTAAGTTGAATAAGGAAACAAAATTCTGTTGAAATTGGGTCTCCTAACTGTAATATATTTACTTACCTTTTAGGACTCTTTTAGGGTTGGCCTATAAATACGAGGCTCCTCTAGTCAGTTCGTAGAGAGTAACATAAAAGCAGTATTGCTAGTCTGTCTTGTATTTACCATACTCTTGAATTAATAAACATCGTTTCTCCGCGTTTACCCTTTATGTTCTTTTTTTACAAATTTAATCTTGTGTTTTCGTGGTGTGATCTAGTATACTTCAATATTATCATTAAATCTCGTTCTTTATAATTTGGTTTGGAATCAACGTGTGTTATTAGAGTTTTCGCGCCCAACAAATGGTATCAGAGTGAGGTTGTTCATTTTTTGTGGATTGGTTGAGATTTTTTCGAGATGGCTGAGTTGAAGTATAATGTTCCGCTATTAGATCGCAATACAAGGTTCTCGTTGAGGCAAATAAAGATGAGTGCTATTTTAGCGCAGTTGTATTTTGATGATGCGTTGCTGGGTATTGAGAGGATGCCAGCTGTAGCTGATTGGACAATGGAAGGATCGACAGGCTGTTTCTTTGATTCATCTTCATCTGTCCAACAATATTCTGCAGAATGTCTTGAAGGAGAAAACGACGGCTGCTTTGTGGTTGAAGTTGGAGCAGTTATGTATGACTAAGAGTCTTAGAAGTAAACTAACTCTCAAGCAGAAGCTATATTCACATCGCATGACGGAAGGAGAGTCGTTGGAAGACCATGTTGCCGTGTTTAAGGAAATAGTTGCGGATCTGGAGACGTTGGATATTAAGTACGATGAAGAGGATCTTGCCTTGATCCTGTTGTGTTCGCTGCCTGGATCTTATTCGTCGTTTTGGGACCCTATCTTGTATAGTCAAGATATTTTGACTATAGAAGATGTTTATGATACTTTGCACTCAAAAGAGAAAATGAAGTATTTGGTTGGAGCTACATCAAGGGATGGGGAAGCTCTTATATCTCAAGGTGGTCAACGAAGAGGCAGATCGAGAGTTAGATTTAGCAATGTGACCTGTTACTACTACAAAAGGAAGGGACATATTCGGAAGGATTACGATATGTCACAGGCTAAAGGTGATTTAGCTGTAAATCGTGGGGTGCAACCTTTAAATTTAGACAAAACCAATGTAGTTGAGAATTGTTCAAATGGCGAAGAGGTGATGTTGACCGTAGTATCTGATGTGGAATCTAGGCCTGAAGAAAAGTGAATTCTTGATTCAGCATGTTCGCACCATATATATTCCAATAGGAATTTATTTCAAACATATGAGGCTGTTCAGCAATATGGAGTTGTAATGGGAAACAACCAATCTTGCCGTATTGCTGGGATTGATCGAGTCAGAATGAGGCTGGGGAATGGAACATTTAGAACAATTGGTCAGGTTCGACATGTTTCTAACCTGAAAAGGAATCTCATTTCTCTAAGTACCCTGGATGCAAAAGGTATAAATTCTTTGGAAGAGGTGGAGTCTTGAAGATCTGAAAGGAAGTCCGAGTTGTACTGGAGGGACGGAAAATATTCCAGTTGTACATTTTGTAGGGAGTGCAGAACTAGTTAAGAGGAGACATTTGAACAAGTTTAGTACCATGGTAGAAGTTCAGTTTGGTACAGTATCTCTTGCATTGGACTCTGAGTCGATTCAGAACACTGCTAGGGAGAGCGTTGGTGATTCCGCTTTGCCACCAATTTCAGCGAGTACACTGTGTTCAGTTGCTGGGGTAGGACTCATCAAGCATAGGTACTGTGGTATCAGCAATGTTTGGGACTATGATGCTCGGACTCGGGTGTGGGTATCGGATACAGGTACATATCTAGGAGTCGGATTCTTCTCATTTTAAAAATTTAGATATGGGGATAAGGTTAAAAAAGATCTGAACTTTGGATACTGGTACAGGGATACTTCTTATAATTTTTTTCCTAAAAAAATGATTCAATTAAAGCAAATAACAAATCATGCCACTTACAATAAATAATAAAACCTTTAGATATAACCCCTAATTTATGACAGTACGAATATTGACTTTTAAACCACTTAATTCTTTCATTTCTTTCTTTCTTCTTCTTCTTCTTCTTATTTTTTTATCGGAAAAATACACTTACTAAAGGGCAGCCCAACTAGTTACGGAAATTCCCTCGTATCATTAACTTCTTTTTTGGGCTCTACCCTTTCTGCAACATTTTGCAAATGTTGCTGCAATCCTCCATAAATTTCTACATATTTCTATCAAAAGACTCAAAACAAATGGTTGTTGCCACTACAAACGCAAGCCAGAAGCAATACTTAACCGTTCATTGTTTTCTCCCTTTTCTAGCCAGGTCCGAGTTCAAAATCGAGAATCCGACACATATCCCATGTCGGTATCCATGTCATGTCGTGTCGACACGGGTACTCCGCCATTTTTTAAAAGTCCGAGCATCATTGGTCTGAGATGTTTCTAGGGACGTTGAAAGCGACAGTTCCAGCAAGAGACCTTCTGATCAAGTATCTGATTTGATTCTTGCTACAAGGTGTGCTTCGGCCCTGCGTGATCCACATTAATTCCTTAGTGGAATTGGGAATTCTAGGGATTGGGTTCGGGTGTCGGTTGTGGACGTCGGGCAGAGGACAAGTGTTTGGTTTATATGGAATGGTTACTGTGTTGAGGAGATTCCGCCAATGAATTTCGATGTAGATAAATATGAAATCTAGGAGTTTCGTTCGTAACACCGAAATTTGAGTCAAGGTGGAGATTGTTAGAAGTATGACTCAAATAGAAGTCTTTTGAAGAGGCGTATTCGACTTGAACTAGGAGAACATTAACCTAGGGTTTAAGGAAACTAAGTTGAATAAGGAAACAAAATCTTGTTAAAATTGGATTTTCTAATTATTATATATTTTCTTGACTTTTAGGACTCTTCTAGGGTTGGCCTATAAATACGAGACTCCTCTGGTCAGTTTGTAGAGAATAACATAGAAGCAGCATTGCTAGTCTGTCTTGTATTCTCCATACTGTTGAATTAATAAACATCGTTCCTCTGCGCCTACCCTTTGTCTTCTTTTTTTACAAATTCAATCTTGTGTTTTCGTTGTGAGATCTAGTATACTTCAATATTGTTATTAAATCTCGTTCTTTATAATCCGATTTGGAATCAACGTGTGTTATTGGAGCTTCCGCACCCAACGGAAACAGCCTCATGAACATCAGCCGAGAAATTTTATCAAAATTTCAGATGTTCTGACAACTGAGAACAACAGCATACATGTTAGGTTTATCATGCCATGACACTTCCAATAGTTGAGGTTCCACAGCATAAATGTAAGATTTAAGATATGTATAAACAAAGACTCTTGAACTGGCATCAGAGGCAAACAAACATGATAAAATGGGAAGGAAAAGGTAGAATTCTCAAAACACTTAGGCTGCGGTCGGTTTAGTTTTCCATTTTCCATTTTCGGTTTCGAAACGACTTTTAGCCCCCATTTGGCCCCCATTTTTTGAAAATAAAAATGGGAGGAATAGTATTTTTTTGAAAAATGAGTGGTTGAAAAAGAATAAAAAAATTTTGATTTATTATGGAAGATTGTGTGGTTAAAAATAGGAGAGAGAAAAATGGAATGTAATTGAATTTAATAGGGGCCAAACGGGGGCTTAGTTTTCCCCGAAAACGACGCGTTTTGGGAGTTTTCCGTTTTTTGAGAATTTATAACTGAAAACGCTCAAAATGATAAAAAGTCGTTTTACATTTTCAGTTATAAATTTTAACTCGTTTTCGAAAGACGAACCAAACACGTTTTCCGCGTTTTCGAAAACGAAAAACGAAAAATGGCCCGAAAACGCCAAACCAATTGCAGCCTTCTTTGTCTGATTGAACGAGCCCAAAAGGATGAAGTGGAGACCACATATTTACTTAATATAAATACTTCTTCACAAATGTTTTTCTATAAGCAGGTGAATTATGTGAGCCAATGATAAGAAAAAGAGTACTCCCAAGGATCTGTAGGATAGCTAACGAAGTGAGCATCAAAAACACTTACAAATACTTCTTGTATATAGTAGGCCAGCACTTACAAGAAGGCAAGCAATTTCTTTGCAGAAGATGTATACAATTGTATTCACCTCAAAAGCGCACAAAATATTTCAACCCAATGCAATTTTACAGCATACACAAGAATAGAACATTAAAAGCCACGTAACAAGTTCACAGACCAAACCCTGATGTAAAAGGAATTACCGGCTAAAAATGATGTCTCTATTTGAAAACAGTCAGTATAAAAATTAAGCATCAAATACAATTTCAATCATTAGTATACCCTGCCCCCGTAACCGTCATGAATTGCTGCACTTTGTCACGACGACCTCTACCCAAATTGTTCTGTCGAACAAAGAACAACTCATCATAATCGATTAATTACCGTAAAAATTACATAATATCTGCTATTCTTTCAGCTAATTTTTTGCCAAGAAACATCCAATAATAGTATAACTTAGTTTCTTAGAGGATTTTTTGGAACTTTATATAAGTTCTTTAATCAATTAAAAACATAAAGAAAATAAAAAATCGCGATGCGACGGTAGCGAAAAATACTTGTACTTACCATTTTGAGAAGCGACAAGAAACGCTAATAACCAAGATTTTGATCGGATTGTTGAAAGGAAGTCCAGAGAGAGAAAATTAGAGTGGAGAATCGTTGCAATTTCTCTCTCTCTCTCTCTAGCACGTCGTTGGATTATTATAATTTTTTCACTTCAATGGTTGCGCAACCACTGCACACTCTCCCCCGACTTCTCAAATTTAAGGCGAGTTTGAGAAAATTACAGATGAGTACCCATATTATATACCAAAAAGAGCATTTGGGTCCCCCCAGCGTTTTGAGAGAAGGACCATTCAAGTAAAAGTTTAATCAGACTTGGGTTTTGGGCTAGTTACGGCCCACCCAGGCCCAATATACAGTCCTATCTACAGGCCCAATTACAATACTTGAAGATAAGCAGTTCCGTCCCAAATTGCATTTCCAGCTTTCCGCATGAACATTGAACGTTAAATCTAACGCTAAATCAAAGTAGTAAAGTAGCGTTAAATTAAATTTCCATTAATTTTCCGAATAATTTGTTGTAAACCCAGAAAAAATCTAGCAGGATGGTCCTTGGTAGCCGCCTCTTGATGTCAAGGACTCTTTCTCTTGCTTCAGCGCCGGCCACCACCACAACCACTACCCTTCACGAAATAGCTTCGAACCACCCTAAAGGTAATATTTCATAGCTTGTGCGTGTGTGTGACAGTTAAATATGTTATTTTTGTTTGGTTATTTGGGAATTTAGTACTTGAATTTGTTCAAGCATAGTAAATCCAGATTTACAGCACTCGGTTTCTTTCTATTTCCTATCTGGGCACAGTCTTTATTGTGTCTGGTATCTATTGTCTTATTTAGTGCAAGACTTGAACGAGCTTATTAATTAAGGTGTTTAAAAGGGGACACATTTATTCATTTACATTTAAATAATAATCATTCATACTAGCAGTTGATGAAATTGATTTGTAGGCATTGCCAAGGTTGTACTGAAGAAGGGAAAAACTCAACTTTTTAGGGATGGAAGTCCAATGGTGTACAGTGGTGCGGTTGATAGGATAATTGGTAAACCGCCCCCCAAAACGGGAGATATTGTCCTGGTAGCGGATGGGACTGAAAAGCCAATTGGTTGGGGCTTGTATAATTCAGTTTCTATGTTTTGCGTTCGGCTCATGCAGTTGGAGGACGAAGCGGCCCGGTATCTATCCCAATAAATCCTTCGTAGAGCATGTTTGGCTATACTTAAAACTTACTTCTAAATTATTTACTACGCCAACTTTTTGGGCAAGTAACTTTTAAACACAGCCAAACATGCTCTAGTAGTTAACTTGTTAAATACACTCGCCTAATTATATCAATTGTCAAAATGGTACAGAGATCCTTCTTGCACACTGAATGTTGACAAACTGATAGAAACAAGAATAGATGCTGCTGTTACATTACGAGAGCGGTTAGGCCTTCCTTCAGCAAATACAAATGCTTATCGTCTTGTTAATAGTGAAGGAGATCGGTATAAACCCTTAATACTTCTGCTGCTTAAAGGCTCTCTTAGACTAATCTTGCAACATAAATTTTCTCCTTTATGCATCATACGTTAGAAATTTTCTTTTGTACTTGCATTTGCTCAGTCTTCCCAAAATGTTTTTATATACCAAGTTTTGCAAGCGCTAAACCACCCGATATTTTATAAAATTATGAATATGGTTTACTGTCATAATGAGCTGGATATGAGGGCAAATGGCTTAGAATTTTTGGCTGACCAACTATCTCAGCAAAGTTTTTAAATGTGTTTAAACTTTGGTGCTTTATTTATTTTTATTACTCTAGCCGTGTCAAACAATTGTCCAAATAAATGAATAATTTACAAAGCCTCCTCTGCATGGATGCGGTTAATATCTCACATTCACCATTAATTTTATCTCGGCCATATCACGGTGGTGTTATGGTTAGAAATGCTACTTCTGTTGCTATGCTGGATGCAACTTCGTGCTTGCACCTATTGATGCAGATTGCATTCTTTGATCTGCAGTTTCATTACATACCAAAACTAAGCCTGGTTGGCATATCCTTTTTATCGAAATCTATTGATTATTTCCATGCTTTGCCGTTCTTATGTTTTTTTATTTTCTGCTGCAGGTTGTCAGGTCTTATTGTTGATATTTTTGGAGATGAAGCTGTGGTAGCTTCATCTGCTGCTTGGGTTGAAAAGTACAAGCAAAAAATAAAAGATTGCATCGGCAGAATAAACAATATCAACAATGTAACCTGGAGACCCTCCACTGAAATCTTGAAGGAGGAAGGTTTAGACTTCTCTGATTCTGCATTTGTAGAATCATCAAATTCTTCCAGAATGGTTAAGGTAAAATTCCAGGTTTACTTAGACCGTACAAGCTTACACTGCTTGAGGGTAAAATCTGTTGAGATGGAAACTGATTGTTTATGGTTTATAATGGATAATATTTACCATGTCATCATATCACATACGGAATACACGGGTATCTATATAATTTTGGCTGATATTGGAAGTTTAATGTTCTTATAGATTATTCTCTCTTCAAATTTTGCTGTATCATTTCGTTATCTACTATGTTTCATTGAAGTAGGAATTTGATTTTTATCGCGTATCAAGTGTGCAAGAATCATCACACATATTTCTCACATATACTTCTGTTCTAAATTTTATATTTAGAGTCGTATGTGTCAATATTTATTTTTTCCCTTGAACAGGTTGTGGAGAATGGCATTTCCTATTTGATCTCTTTGGAAGGGCAGAAAACTGGTTTCTACGCAGATCAGCGGGAGAACCGTAAGTTGATATCTTCAATTTCAGAGGGCCAGAAAACACTTGATATTTTCTGCTATACTGGAGGTTTCGCGCTGAATGCAGCATGTGGCGGTGCTCTGAGCGCAACTGGTAAAATATATATGTTAAAATTTTGTCATTTTTTACTGACGTCCTTTAAATGAAGCAAATGATCTAAGTATCAGCAAAACTTCATCTATGGTTTTATTGAAGTTCTCTATTGATGAAAGTATTAAGTTTTTGAGTAGAGATAGTCATCGTACTTTATTTTCTTGAAGAAAATATATTATATATTTCTGTGTTCATCTGAAAATATAGCTGCAAGAACTAGAGCTACCGGAGTGATCAAAATGACTTATTATCATATTTAAACATTTATCTAGACTTCTCACTAGCATTAATTTAGGGAATATGATTTTCTCCTCTCTTTTTTTAACACGTAATGATTAATGAAGGCAGGGTATGTGGTATGGTATGAGGATGTTCACGATCGCTGTCTTTCTTGTCGTTTTAGATTATTTTGAAATTTCCCTAAATTCGAATGTTGGAGCTACCTGAATCTTTCTAAATGACAAAGAGAGAGCTCCTTGAATTGAATTGGACAGTGTGTTAAAAATAGAAAGAAAGAAGGTTTATATAGTTGCGTTCAAATTCATTTGGAATAGGCTTAGCTTCTTATTGTCGTCATAATTATTTTCTTGAAGGTGTTGATTCGTCTTTGCCTGCATTGGAAGTTGCCAACGAGAACATTGTTCTCAATGGCCTTGATCCGGGAAGAATATCATTTCTTAGACAGGATGCTACTGAATTTATGAAGAATGCTATTACTAAAGGTGAATCATGGGATATAGTCATCTTGGATCCACCAAAACTAGCTCCACGTAGAAAGGTACTCTATGTGCCTATTTTTCGTGCCTTTCTGCGCTTTTTTATTCTTAGTAGTACAAATGACTTTGTCGTTTGTCGTCTTTCCATGACTGTGTCGTTTCTCTTTTTGTCTTTTGGAAAGAGGACGAGGATGTACTTACTAGAATTCAAACTGATTTTCTTGGGACACCGCGACATTTTCAGGTGTTACAAAGCGCATCTGGCATGTACAGAAATTTGAATTCTTTGGCGATGCAAATAACAAGACGGGGTGGATTGCTAATGACCTGCTCTTGTTCTGGTGCTATGACCCAAAGTGGAACATTTTTACGAGTTCTCCAGGCACGTTATCTCCCTTTTTTTCTCGATTAGATGTAAAATTATTTGAGATAATATGAACATTTGCTTAATTATTTGAAACTTCAGTGACCATTGGATTTATCCTTCATTTTCACAACACCTACAACCTTTTCTGGACATTTCTATTTATACAGGGTGCTGCACAGATGGCTGAGAAAAAAATTACAGTTATACGTCAAGCTGGAGCAGCCTGTGATCATCCTATTGATCCTTCGTACCCAGAAGGAGCCTACCTCTCAAACATTTTGCTTAGGGTGCTGTAAACAAAATTTTAACTCATTTTTCTTCATTAGTAGCATGCTACTCAATCTTCCCCCACCATAATTGTTAATAATACTAAGAAAAGAAATTCATCAGTTGAACTAGAATGGAAGAAAGGGCATTGCGCAATCAATTCATAAATAAAATTTAAATGAGGAATTCAGGTCAATAACAACAAAAACCAGTGCAACAAGGGTTATAGCATTCGAATATTTGAAAAGATAAGAGAGCAAGATAATATCAACCGTTATGTAGTGCCTAAAAATGCATTCACCAGAATGTCAGTCAACAGCTTGTTTAGTGACCTGGATTCCGATTCCATGACAAATATGATGGATCTCCAAGTTGCCTGGGACAGAATAATCAGTGAGATCACATATCAACAGCATATAAGAGCACCAAATGTGACTGGACTAACCAATGAACCATAGGGAGAGGAACGGATGCTTCAACACAATTAATACAGCAGGGGTAGACAGAATTATAGTATTATACCTTGGCTTTACTAGATAAATAATAACGAACACCATGGCAAGGAAGAAGCACAATCCACCCACAGTGAGATACGCTTTACCAAGAAAGTCATTCTTCCCTCCAAGCCAACTGGTGGTAGAAAGAACAAGTTTCTTCTTGCCATCGAAACTATATGTGTTATAATTGTTTTTGAGCGTCACATTGATCAAATCACCAGCCTGAAGATCCGTCTCTATTTTCCCATACAATTTCCTGAAAGTTGGAAGAGCTGCAGTTCGCATCCAAACGATAAGGTCTTCCTGCTCACTTAACTGTAACGCAAAAAATATTCGTTCATGACTTGTGGAAATTAGTTTCATCAAATAAAAGTTTTTGAAGTGAATGAATGGGTTTCTAACTCTCAGTTCTCACTCGTGGTCATAAGTGTAAGCATGGTCTTGCAACGTGTTAGATGTTAATGACAAGAGTGTTGTTTTAGACAATTAGTTTCAAATAGAATTCCCAAATTCATCTTTGTTCTTTGTATAGAACAAGCTAGCACATATGATAGTTGCACGTGGGTTATTCCACAGTGCTGAGTATAAGGCCCCATTCGATTTTTATTTTTCTCAAAATGCATTTTTCTCTCTTCTTTTCAACCGCACATTCTTCATTTAAATAATATTACACGTAAATAAAAAAATTTTCATCCATACATTCTTCATCAATCCACTATTCTAAAATTCATTTTTCTTTAAAAATGGGTATCAAACACTCTCTAAATCATTCATTCTTCCAATGCTCCTTCACGGCTCCCATAGAGAACATTATGATTCGGGTTTACAAAATTAATGGACGTCCCCAACCTTGGGATCATGAACTGCATTGGGTGGTGAATACCATAATAGAAATCATAATTTTGATCAGATGCATACCCACCACCAAACAACAGTGTTTCTTTCATCCCACAAAGTTTCTTCCAACTTTAATAACATTTTAGCTTCATATATTCAATTAAATTACAAGTCGTCATGCAGAGAAGTAGTATCTCAACAAATTGTGAGCAACTAAATGCAAGGAAGTGTTGGTATTTAAGTGTTCATACTTTAAACATCTAGTCAGTAAACATGGCTAGAGGCTTACCGGTTTCAATGGGTCAAGATGCGCACCGCCAATACGAGTGCTGTTCTGAAAGTTCTTAGGGTAGACATCTTTGCCAAATTTATGATCCCTATCACTCTTCCATGAGATACCTCTCTTGTTTATGGCCAACAACTGGTTGTTGCGGGTGAAGTCATAAGTATCGTTAAACAGACTCCAGGCAACTAGACCACAAGGAACAATTGTCATCCCATTATTATCTTCAGGTTTACACGCACTTGTATCATTCTCGCTTCCTGGGCTTCTTAACTGCTGATCACTTCGGCTCTTCACATACCTGAAAGCACCAAATGTCGGTCACAGAATTTCAAAATGAAAAGAATGAAGTATAACCAACTAATGATGCTCAAGATAATCCTCAAGTACTCACGAAAGATATTAAATAGGCAACAACTATGAGAAAATAATAATAATAATAATAATAATAATAATAATAATAATAATAATAATAGATAAATAAAATAAAATAAGATAAATTTAGTGCACAGGATGGTAGAGTACATTATAAGTACCTGCGATGATTCTGGTAGAAATTGTCAAGCTGATAATATATATAAATCGGTTTCTTCATATATTTCGGAACCTGGCATTAACACAAGGTTCAGCCCCAATTATTAAATTTTGTTCTTCATTGATATCAGTAATTACTAATGGCTAACTCACCGTCAGCGTTCTGTTGCAGGTTTTAACTCGAGGGCTTTGTATAAATCCAACTTTGTCGTTTCTTGCATCAGCAGGAATGCAATCAGTATCATACCTATGAACAATTTCAACCACCTGATAACGAAAAAGAGACTTCTCAGTCAGAAAGATGCTAAAACGGTAGATACACAATAGTTGAATCTGATCGTACATCCCGGGAAGCATAGAGGGAGACAACTCCAATGGGAATAAAGACAATGCTAACAAGCAAGAATGCTGAAATCACCTGCACCAAATAAAATGCATTACAGGCAAGTTATGCCATCTGTAGAATAAATTCAGCAACATTGATAAATGACCAGAAGAGACATCAGCGGTCTGCAGGAACTTCTTAAAGTCTCACCCATTTAGGCGTAAGAATAGGCTTGCATGCAGGAAGTTCCTGTTGCGTGAACCTTGAGTCTGAAGGACATGATTGGAAAAAAAATTGTTAGATGATTCACGATCACATTGATCAAGTAAATAGGAACTTTTCCAGCATTAAGATAATGACAGAACAAACACTCCATATTCTGAAGACTAACAAAGCATTGACTTGACATATTTAATATTCTAGAAGAAAACAATCATAAAACAACATCGTTTGACACCACAAAACATATATTTCCATCAGCTTACATTGTGTTTCACATTTTCTATTATACCTAGAATATTCAAAACAGTCTGGTAGAAAACTAGCAGTGAGTTCTCACGGAAATTAGTATTCAAGTAATTCAGATAAACCTGAATTTGTTCAGTAAGCAAATTTCTCTGCAGGAGAACTATTAGCTTTCATGATCTTTATCTTCAAAATTGCCTGATCCTTCAACGAACGATCAATTTACTCCATGACGCATTAATAGACCAAAATGCTTGATATTTTTAAGAACTTTAATTTTTTACCGCGCAAGAGGATATCCACACCTAAAAACTTCGTACTTATAAATTCATGACAGAACTAGTTCGGTAGATCAGCAAAATGTGAACTAAGGTGGTCAAATTCTTCTTCAAAATTTGAATTAAATATCAAACTTTGAGCAGACAACACATATAGGCAAGCCCTCACAATCCCAGAAAAATTTCTACAAGATAACAAAAAAAAAGTGTATATATATATTTTAACAAAAAGCATAAAGAGAAAAATACATTTAGGTCGCTTCGAATTCCTTCTGGCCCCAGTTGTATCCGCCGATCCAATTCCTCCGGCACTCGATGACGGAGTATTCGAGTCCATCACTTCACTAAAATACTTCTTTTCCCCCTTTTTCCTCTCAAAATAAGAAAAAATCGTGCGAAAAACCCCGGAAAAAAAAAAAAAAAAAACCTCAAAAACAAAAGGAAGGATCAAACAGAAACGGAGATGAAAAAAATTATAAATAATAGGCGATCAAAATCTGGAATTTACGAAATGAAATGAGAGGGAGAGATACGTAAGATTTACGAGGAATTCTGTAAATGATTCTATGTTCTGGCTCTAACTCTTTAACTTTTTCTTCTTTGACTTCGAAATTTCTTCACCTATTTCTTTTAAACATCAGCACAAAAATCACAAAAAAAACAACGAAAAATGAACAAACTTTCTTCGTGTTTATCCCTCTAATATAACATTTCAAGGAAGGGTTTCATCTTTTCTCTCTCTAAAGGGGTGGCAACAGTCTGTCCACCCCGATTCTTGTCTCACTAGATTCTAGAACAGCGGAGGAGTTGGGAAGGTAGAGTTTATACAGAGAGCGAGAAAGGGACAACAGAAATAGTCAAATCGATACTCCTGAGGAAAATTTGCAGTTATGTCCCCAAACTATGTAGCTTCTTGGATTTGATGAAAACTGTCAAAAGTTAATCTCCCAGTCGCCATTACTAAATATTCATAGTTTCAAATTGAAATCCAACCTGATATGAACAAGTCTAAACCATTCATGTAGCCAACATGTCTCAATATATTTTTTTCAAAAATAAATCAATAAATGAAAATCGAGAGTTTTTACTTTGAGAGACAATACACATCAACATAATATATTTACATGTAAAAATTACACGCTTAGCACCATTGCTGCTGCTTTCTCCTTGAAGGAAGGATGTTTGTATAGCTTTATAATGTAGTTAAATTTTGGGGTCGAGACTTCTTGCTCGAGCAACGATCATCAAGTGTAAAGCCTGAGGCGATTGGTTATGCGCTGTCGACATATGGGACAATCCGACAATCTCGAGCTACAGTCTCTGCAAGTCTGCATTCAATAATATATCGGTAACAAGTTTTTGCTTCCAATTTAACTGAAGAAATACAAAATATGTTGTACTAGAGTATCTCACCATGTGTCCGCAGTTGAAGGCTAAGTCTTTAGCGTTGGTTAGACAAACAGGGCAGACCTTCATTCAAGTGAAAGACGAAAGAAGGAAAATGAATCAATTCAAAGTTAAGAATTTGGAAATTTGATCACAACATGCAGGAATTTCCAGTAACTTTCACTTTTTTTAAGCTTAGCCAAACATGATATTAGCAGTTTATGGTCCTCTACCTGATTTCGGTCATCTTGCACAGCCATCGAAGTATTACTGGGTTCTTGGGATGGAAATGATACACGTCTAGTGTCGGGAACTGGTGGAGGCCTAGGAACGATTTTCTTTGCCTTACCCGTTACCCCTCTTTTGTCCAACACGAGAAAAAGAGAGAGAATTATCAGGAGACGAGCAAATTTTTATAAACATAGTGCATGCTTGATAATTATATTTTTGTTAATATTTTCTAGAACTTGGAAATGATAGAAAAGCTTATCAACTGGTTAAAAATATTTTTATGAAATGTCAGGAATTTGAAATTCATACTCGTTAGCAAAACAGAAGGGAAAAGGTCCAAGTGCTTTATGGAAAGAAAAAGTTAATTTTTTGTTCTTAAGAGACTCCAGTTTTTCAATTAAAAGCCTTCACACATAACTCAAAGTGTTCATACCCGAGTAGACGAAGTTCTTTAGCTGCTTGGTATTGGATAGGGATCTCCATAAGAGCAGCAAGAGCGAAGGCAGTTTCTTTTTCAGACGGTGTTGCTTGTTTGGACATAACAGCAGTGAAATTAACAAACTGCAACACGGAAAATTACCTTTTGAGACGTCCCAGGTATGTTAAAATTTCACCAATTTTCAGTAAATGCAGTACCTGAAAATTATCAAATTCACGAGCAGGGATCTTGTCATCAAAGTTTCTCATATCTTCCCAGGGTCCATCACCGACGCCAACAAGAATAATTGAGAGAGGATACAAACTGATAAAAGAAATGACCGACTCAAATGTACTGAGACGATTTCCAAGTTACATGTTGCATCATGCTTTTGCGAACGTGATACAAGAAAAAGTCCGATTGAATAACTCTCGAAGATAATTCTACGAAGAAAAATTATAACTGGTTTTGCTGAAATAACTCATTCAAAAAGCCAGAAAGATCTCACTTCAGCACTTAAGTCTTCCTTAGTGTTAAATCATATGTTGCACATGAAGAATTACATGGAGACTGACCTATTTTGGCTGGTATGACATAAGAATACCGACTCTGAATCTTCAATAATAACTGAGAAGAGGGAAATTCTATTTCTAAGCCAACCCTATGATAATTATAAAACTATAATTTCAAAACATACTAGAAAAATCAATGCCAATATCAAGTTACTAGCTGTGAAAGTTGACATCTGGAGAGTTTCTACAGCCGAGCTTCTGATAGCTACAATGACATTAAAATTTTGCATCGTTGCTAATTCAAAAATAAATATTACTGCATGGGCTTGATGAAGTGGCATGAAACTCACACCAAAATCAACCAGATAGTTTGTATTTTTCACTGTACCTTGCATTGACAATAGAGTTTATAGTTTCCGATTCTTGTGGGCTGAGTTCCTTATTTCTCGTACTTTTTGTTACCTTCATAACAAAACGTAATTATGTTAAAGTGAGCGACTGGGTGTAGCAATGTCTACTTGTCAGAGAGAGAGAGAGACCTGGCCATCTGCTATGATTACCAAAGCATGGTATTGTCCACCACTTCTCTCGACTATGTCTACTGCAGCATCCACAACTGGCCCATAAGATGTTGGCCCTTAAACAGACAAATGCATAAATATTTATCAATCTGCTTTGTGAATGAAAATTTTATGTTACATGCATATGGAGGTAGTCCATGGTCTTAAGAAAACATATTCATAAATGGAAGATTAATAAAGTAGGATAGAAGCCTACCAGACAATCGCAAATTTGGAACTATTCTTTTGTAGCGGGCTAAAACTTCTTCAAAACCATGAGAAGGAGTATGATCACTGTGAAAGCTAAATACTTCCCGATCGCATGTAGTCGCTACAGATAGAGGGAGAAATGACCTAAGTTCGTCAGATACTGAACTAGCCACCGGAAAGGAAAAATAATACCACAAATGAAATGAACTAACCATCTCCAAATCCAAAACAAGGAATCAAGTTGTCTTCATCAAAAGGGGCCAAAGTTTTTCCGATAATGGATATAGCTTTTTCATATGGATTAGGTATATCACCAACCGCATGCAGGCTTCTATTGTTGAATGACACTTTACCTTTAATAACAAGATTGATGCATTAGCGTTAAGATATAAAAATTCCAGCCAAAAATACCCATGACAATTCAGTGGTGATGAATATGTGATTGTTTATCCAACAAAAATGGTAACAAATGAAAGATATGGAACCCTTCTTCCATAATTATTTCTTCCCAATGAAAATTTTCAAAATTGATCTTCAACCGTACAAAACAGTTTGGTATGTTGCCGTTCACATGCGTAACGATCTGACAAACATCTGATAGTGACAACAGATACACCGATGTTGAACATGCTGCAAAAATATTCTTTTGGGGTATCTATGGGATAAGCAAGCTATTCTACAAAATCTATGTCAAGAACATCAAAGATAATAATAAAAGTAAAATAATGCACGAAAATATGAGGTGAAGGAGGGATCAAACAATTGTTCAGCTGCCAATTAATGTAATTCCAAAAATCCAATATTCTAGGTAATTAGGAATTCCCTAGTAAGTTCATTCCAAAAAATTAGAAATAAATGCAGCTTTTTATCGGACAATTTAGTTTGCACTTTCACTAACCTGTCCATTCATTACTTTTTGTGAAATCAATTCCCAGAATCAGATTTGATGACTCAAGACCAGATTCCCTCAAGGCAACTGTGACCTGCAACAGTCAATCAACGTTACGAGCTTAAATAATTTATGTTGAGATATGAATCCCACTAAATTTACCGAGGTAACATACTGTAATCAAGAACTTGCAGCAATTTTCTAGTAATTGATATTAGTCCACGGTGACAATCTTGAGCAGCCATTCCAGTTTACAGGATATTTGATACTCACACTGACACACATACACACAGAAACAGAGTGGAAGACAAAAACATCTAGATCATTAGTAACTGTATATCCCCTTGAGCGGACATGTGCTTTCATTCTGTAAATATGCCAAATTTAAATGAAATTCCATAGAACTGCTATTAGACTAGCCATACTATACAGTATTGAGCATTAAAGTATAAAACGATAACAATGAGAGATAAGTTAAAATATACCTAAAGAATTATGAAACCCCAATAAAACTGAATAGAAAAGGGAAAGACGACCCAAATTAACACAAGTTCTTGTAAAATGTTTGATTTTTTGATTTTTTTTGATTTTTTAAAAAATTATTTAATTTTTTTTTTCGGATATATATAATCTAAAAAGTTGTTCGTATAACCAATCCCAAAATTTATTTAAAACTTGTGGTGGTGTCTTGTCGTATGACTCAGTGGGAATATAATCACAATACATAATGGAGAAAAAACTTGTTACGAATGAAGGGACCTTTCCTGCTTAATCCTTTTCTGTTGTTATCAACAGCATTTATGGTGCTTTCGTTCTCATCAACCTTGTCACCATGCAACGCTGATCTTCATCTTTATCCCTTTTCTTGATTAATTCCAAAGAGAAAAAGAGAACTACCATTGCCAGTCGTGTGTGTGCAGTAGTGTGAATAAATGACTAGAGCAAGCTTGGCTCAGCTTAAAACGTTTCCATACAGTTAAACAAGCAAGTTCCAAAATAAGTAAAGTAGCATGTTCAAGGAAAGATATAGTAACTTTATACTTTTTTTAAGCTTGGCCAAACAGGTTCTGTTGTAGATACCTTTCAGTTTATTTCTCTCCTCTCAGAGTGGCGGGTAGTAGTTACTTTAGCTTTTGCAATTTGCAACCACTGATAAGATGTTTAGTTACATCATTCATGCCTTACAAGATTAAATAATACGGCAGGAACAGGAAGATAAAGATGATTTGTACTACATTCTATGGATAAAGGCTGATGACCTCAACTTGGGGAATTAAACCCAAAAGAAACACACATGGAGACACCAGCATCGGATTCACCAAACTTAGCCCCAGTTTGACCCCCATTACCTAAAAATGAAAATAGGGGGAATAGTATTTTTTAGAAAAATGAGTGGTTGAAAAAGAAGGAAAATTTTTCGATTTACGTGTGGCAACTCAACAAAAAAATGAAAAGAATGTGAAAATTATTAAAAATTAATTGATGTGACCTGTCTAAAATGTTAAGAGGGGAGTCACTTGTATTCATCTGAATCTTGTCATAAACACAGCTCTAATTTCCATTTTTCTCAGCTAGATAACTTTACTATAAGTTACTAATTGCTCATTGAACTTTGTTATAAGTTACTGCTTGCTCATCGAAATTTAAAAAGTTACTCGTTGAACTTTGCTATAGGTAACACTTATGAAAGTGTATGAGTAATTGATGAGTAACTTTATTCAAATTTGAATTTGCAATGAGTAACCTTTTAATATTGGTGAAGAAGCAGTAAACCTATAATAGAGTTTAGTAAGCAAATAGTAACTTTTTAAATTTTGATAAACAAGTAATAGTTTATAGCAAAGTTTAGTGACCATTGATTAAATTAACTCTTTTCCCCGCCGTAACAAGTACAGAAGTTTTGCGGATTAGCATATTAACTATCTAATCTAATCAGGATTGCATGTATTCATTTGAATAGCGCCTTAATCACACGTCCTAAAAGACTAACTAGCAGTAAAATTGTGAGGAAAGTAGCAAGGAAGAAGGAATAACCTGGTCGATGGATGTAAAATTATCAGGTATGTATTCATACTTTTTCTTCTTGTCCATCACCCTGCTAGAAGCTCTGCCGCTTGTACCCTTCAAATTTACAATGGAAGTAGAAGAAGAGGTCGAACCACTTCTTGCTAAATTTCTGCCCTTGTGCTTGCGAAATCCAAACATATTGCACATACTCATCTTCTCCACTTTCTTCTTGAATAATGAATATATATATATATATCTCGATTGTGAAATATACAAAACCAGTGGTTTAAGCAAAGTGCAGTAACAAGGAAATTGCGAGAGGAATCGTGCAAGTGTCATAAATTTGCCCAAAATTATATATGAAATCGAATATAGTGAAGGAAAATCAGGAAAAGGGGGATTCTTGCTTGTAGAATTGAGTTTAGTATCGTATTCTTTCTTTTGCTAGTGCTGAGCATGAAAAACAATTCACGCGGTGAAGTATCTGCAAGAGCTGGCCATTGGTGGTTCATTTTTTTCTGTAACTCAGAGCACTTTATTGTTCATATACAAGAAACAACATAAAATCACTGTTCTAAATGCATGAAAAAACCTTCTTGAGGCGTTTTCAAAGAGTCTCCTTTACAGGGGAATAACTTCCAGGGACCATACGGATGCTGGTGCTGTTTTTTTTTTTAGCTGATTGTCAATAAAAGAAAGTCATCTGCTCCCTGTAAATAGCCTGACAATTGTCCTCTATCCACATGAAGCAGCACTCGTTTTCAAAAGGTTCCTTGAGACATTTTCAAGAAAGAAGCGGTTAACTACTCTTTAACTACTCTTTTTGATCGTTTAATGCTCACTTAGGTGAACATTAAGTCAGGCTAGGCTTTATATATATATATATATATATATATATATATATTTAGTCATTTCTTGAACCTAATGATTAACATGGACCAAAACACTAAATTAATGTGACCTATTCTTGGAACTATTTACCTTAAAAAGGTTCTTGTGCTCGTCTAATTTCTGAAAAATTGAAAATTGTTTAATCACAAGAATTCTTAAGTAATTGGAGTATTTATGATTTTAATTGTTTAGTAAATACTATTTTATTTTATTTATTGTCATAAATTAAATGTAATAATAATCAAGTAAATACTTTTCACGTCTAGGCTAGATTTGTAAGCTTTGAAGCTTAGATGTCATCGTCTTGTCATGTCTTGCGCCTCCTAGAAGGCTGTAGAAGGCTAATAGTAATATGAAATAGGACACCTTTGCATAAAATCTTTCGAAGTACAACTGTGCGGACTAGATCTTCGGATAATCGAAGAAAAACTGCAAGTTCAAATACAACATGCAAACTTATTTATTATAAGCTAGACATCCGAGCATCAAATCTTCTTAAGAGAAGCTTCCAAATGTGGTTGAAGATCATTCAGATTGGTAGCCATTTCGACCACATAAGATAATTCTTCATTACCCACTTTGAAAACTCGCGTTATCTGCTTTACCTGTCCACCAGAAAGAGTTTAAACATCACATCATGCTGTCATTTAAGCACCTCAAGTTTCATGTTCAATAAACTATGAAGCAACGCGAAGCATCATGAAGCAAAACGATTCTTGAAGAGGAAATGGAATTTACATGAGAGTGTGCTCAAGGAGTACAAGTGCCATAGCAAAAAATGTGCAGAAACAAAGATAGATTAGCCCCTGTTTGATTTAGCTAGAAAAGTTGATTAAAATTGGAGTTAAAATCAACAATTAATTTTAACCACAAATATTATGGGACCACAGCTTTTCAACCACACATTCCATCAACTATGATCAAAATCTACTACTGATTTTTATCTAAACCAAAGAGGAGCTAGATGATTGGAAACTGTGCTATCTATCATAGGGTAACAGAAGCTTAGATAGAAGCAGCAGAAGAACAGGAGGATGAGAGAACTTAGGAGGAAATTCAATGCAATCGTCTCTCCATAATATAAATTCTCCTGCTGCTTATCACTGAAAGGGCTAATAAATTAGGCAGCAAGAATCAGAAAGTTGACAAAAAGAGAACTGGGAATGACGAGTACCCAAATCATTTTCAAGTCCGAAAATAGACCAGAATCTCCACTGAAGCATAATAATGTGAAGAATGCAGGATCAAATTCACTGCTATTGCATTAAAGGAATATAAATGTGTTGAAAGATCAAGTTGTGGTTAGATTTTATCACTTAGGGGTTATATGCATTACAATCTCTCTTTTATTTATTTACCTTTGAAGCATTCCCGACAAGTGCACTCTTTAGCTTCACAATTCTCTGTTCTGCATCAAATGTTCCTTTCTGCGAAGCACAGTAGTGAAGCAATATAAGAGGAGAAATTCAGTCAGAAACTACAAAAATTGTCTCTTCAGAAGCCTGTCTACCTCTATAATATAAGAGGTCTGTTCTGCTTCAAATTATTTTGCTACCACAACTTCTTATGACTAAGTCAGAAATGTTTTTACAATATGTTGGTTAGAGACAAATATTAAATGAGACAATTGACAAATTTGCTTTTATACTTCTGAATGTTCTTTAGTCAGAACACTGTTCAGCATATAGCTTTTACTTCAAGTGCAATGCTTGGGGCAGAAAATCAGCCCGCTTCACCAAAAATGAGTAGGATCCCACTCAAATTTTGCTGCAGACAGAGGTCCAAAAAGCACTATCCAATACACAAAGGAACAAAGGAGGATCATTAAAGTGTCACGCCATGTTAAGAGCTGAACCTGGAATAATGTCTTGAATATCTCATCTTAATTATACATCCAATTTGTGTACCAAATAGGATTTGAGGTTGTAACTTAAAAATAAAAATTTAGAAATTCAAACTTGCTTTCCTTAGTTAGCCTAGTTCATCCAAGTTAAAACTACAGCCCATCCATGAGCATGAGATAATCATGAAAACTAAACCAAGGACAAATTCCAAATATAATCACATTTTGCATCCATACCTACAAAAACATGAAGCCCCTAATGCCAAGAAAAGTGATCTAGCAGAGTGCGTACCTTTTACAGCTCACTCAATAAATGTGCCCAACATAAGCAGTAGATTGTTCATTAATTCATATTCTTAATCATCCAAGAACAGACCATTCAAGCATTAACAAAAATGACTTAACACCACATTAAACATGGAAATTTAGATTAGTTACTTCATCTTCTTTAGTCAATTTTGAACATTAAAATTGTTGGGTTTTTTGATATCCAATAAATCCCGGACTATGATGTTAACATGGATAATATATTTCATACACATAGGCCGATGAATGAAATAAGTCCGACAACCAAATCCATGAACTCCACCAGGTCCAATTGCATTCCCTCTTGGATGGTTTAAATCTTAGCTCGTTTACTTTCTTTTTGGTCCAATTAAAAGCCTAACCCTAGACTATTTATAAGACTACAACCCTAACTATTTTCTAGTATGAATTGTGAGAAAAAAGAGAGGAAATTTGGAAGCCCCTTTGAAGTGCCAAAATTGGGTGATTACTTTATGTAATTTGTGGTTCCTTCGTAACCTACCTTTGTTGTATTTTCTCCTTACATTTGTGGCTACAAATCATCACCGATTCTTGTCCTTTGTGGGTAAAATTGAATAGCAACCGAGGTAAATTACATTGGTCGTGGATCGGAGCTGGTTGGTTTGATTGTTTGGTAAAGAAAGGTACATTAGATTGAGCCTGGAAAACACCGATTTAAAGATCCTTGGAGCGAGCTTCCGCGACAAAAATGCTCTTTCACGAGCTGATTTTCTTTCAAATCTTACAAGTTCTCTTAGAAGTGCATCATTGGGCATTTAAGCAAATTGCAAATTTTCTTAAATATAAGTTTTTACATAGCCTTTTTTAATCATAAAATACGGACACGCATGAATATCAGTTAAGTAAAAGAACAAACATGAACAAATGAAATTCATTTGCAACTCAGCTTGTTAAAACAAACCTTAACTAATATAAAAGAGTAGCATTATAACTTCTAATTTCACAAGGCCACATTCAAGAGAACCAGATTATCGTATTCCTTTTAACATCATACTTTAATGGAAAAAAATCATGAAGTCTTAGTGATATTCTCTATCTAATGAATGAGGAGCGTGCTTTAAATTCGTCTGCTCTGCATCCGCCACGACTACATGCTTCAACCGGATACAATTCAATGACTTTGGCACTGGAAGTTCCTAAAATGGATAATATCAGGTCAGGTGAATTTAATAATCGACGCATTCCAACCTTGTCCTTTCATGGCCTATCAAAAAGAAATTTCTTACTTCTCTTATTTTGAAGAAAAATCAGAAACTTTTCCATAAGGATATACGAAAATTTTGATTAAGCTTCGCTTTCCCTCCTTTGTGGTGGGTTTCATCAAACAATTAACATATTAGCGAGCATCAGCTACATATTATCTTAAAAGTAACTTAGAGTTCGAATTAATGTTAAAATAGTTATTTTATTGAATTTATGAAATAAAATTACAATTCTATATACAATATTTCCACGGGTTCGTGTCAAAAATAGATTTTCTAAGAGTACCTGGACTTCAGCTAGACCAGTGCTCTGGGCAATTACAACTTCAATGGTCCCATCAATTTGGGGTCTCCAGTATCCACTTTCAGCGTGCATAGGCTGATTGGTGTTCAATTTCCAAGTCTTTGAAGAATAAGCTATAACGGGCTTCTCATTCATAACCAAAACAAAATTAAAAATGGAAACAAAATCACTTATGGAACACTGCAATTTCAATTGCTGCGTAATTTTTCAACGCGAGACAGAACTACAGAATACCTTGTTAGGCGAGTGAGAAAAGTTGAGCTCTTCAGAATAAGCGAAAGGGGAGATAGTGGGGAACCTGCCCTCGCCTTGGCCTCTCCAAGTACCAAGCAAGAAGGCTAGTGGTTGAACCGCCTGATGCACCGTGGCCGGCGGCGGCATGAAATTTGCAGCCATTTCTGCTTTTCTTGTTGCTCTTGGATTTGACAATGGCGTGTCTCTCCTTCTCCGTCGCCTTGGCAAGACAGCTTAGCTTAAAAGCTATACTTTTAGTACTTAGGGAAAATTAGGAATAGACCCATTACATTTCAGACGGCGTCATTTTAGGTCCCTATCTGTCAGAAGTGAATTTCTGAGATCCAATTAATTTAAGTCTATGTTTGGTAGTGATTAAAATCAATTTTTTAATAAATTTTGATAAATTTGATGAAATGTGTGATTAAAAAGTTGTGCCATAAAATATTTGTTGAAAATTAATTGTTTAATTAACATAAATTAATACCTAAATTAAAATCTTTACCAAACAGTGCGTAAATACGTGAGTTTGAAAACTCTATACTTAGATGTAAAATTCTTGTGCGAAAATTACATTTCAAAAATTAAGTTGGACGATCGAATGAGTTGGTTGAAAAAACTACATTGTAAAGTACTAGAAAGAGGTCCAATCTTATATAAACTTTACCACTTATGGTTTACCACTTTAGCTAAAGTAATTCAAGTATGTTGTCTTCCATCTTCATAGATAATATAAGGACGGGTATGATCGACAAGAATTCAAGCAAATAGTATATTGATATTGTCCAGTGCTGTCTAAACCCTCGTACCAAACTTTCCATAAGAGATCTTAACCTGTTTCAAATCCCGTGAACTAAAATAAAACTGGGATCTAATTACATTCTTTTTATACTCTCCATATGAATGATCCAGTTGTCAAATCCATGTTCAGCATTTGCCTCTTTCGCCCAGTGAAGATCCTTCTTCAGGCAATCCTGCCAAACTCTCATAGGAGGTATGGCAGCTTTCAGTTGAACAAACAGTGTGTTCGGGCATTGAATTCCCAATTCACAAGCAGATGACGATATGTATGTTCCATGTGGATTGTGGGAAGCACTAGGGATTGACTCCATTCCTTTCAGTTGATAATACTCTCCATCATTTACAACTACAGATCCAATAATTTGATCGACAAGCATCTTGCAGGCTTGCTCCAACATAGCCACATACCTTCTCTCAGCATCCTGAAGAATCTGCAAATGTTTTTCAGCCTGTGTCACCATGGTAAGGATAGATTTAGCTCAATGTACTGTTACGGACTAACATTAAGCAAATCGAAAATTGGAAACATGCACGAAAAACACAGAATTATAGTAATTCACTCTTAATAAGGCACTAACGTCTACTTGCAGCTGCAGGATTTCACTATTACAATGGTGAATCTCGTGCACCTAAGATTGTCAGACTGAAAAGGCTGCCTAAGTAACCAATTATTAAGCTCCAGACAGTCCAATATGAACTATAGTCTGGTATTGTAAAATAACTTCAAAGGTCGACTTTCTTGAGCTATTGAAAGGTGGATGAGAGGGGCTTACTTCAACTTGCAAGTGCAGTTTGTTTTGAACTTCCATTTGTATGTGCGATGCCTCCTTAACTTGATAAGCCCTAGACATACGATCTAAACCTTATACAAGATTATAAAGTTTCAACATTTGCAACAAGTCGAAGCATATGCACGTGTACATTAATAACTAATTTGGACAATTGATCAATTTCAATATGTGTTGTGTACCACATATTTATAACTGAAGAATTCCTAACATACTAGGAGAATTAATATATTAAGGGTGCGTTTGATTGCAAGCATGAACTTTGCATAAAAATTGTCAATTAAATATGTTTGACTGATTTAATTTTTAATCTAAAAAACATTATACTTGCCCTTTTTTAAAAGAATGGATAGACGAGAGAGAGAAAGAGATAGTGAATTCTCTAAAAAATGAAATCCAATTTTCCCTAAAGAAGATATTTTCCTTGATTTTGAGGAAAACATGGCCACATCACCAAAAGTAGGAAAATGTTTTTCCATGAAAAATAATGTCAATTAAACAACAAAAAAGTAAGAATTTAAGTGGAAAAAATACATTTTTCATGAAAAATATTGACAATCAAACACACTCTAAGAGTTTAATATAAGGCGAACTCTCAATACAATGGATAAAACTAATAATGAAGATTTTGTGATTAAAAAGAAGTCAAATTCACTTGGGATTCCTTCAAGACATCTTCACGTCTACTACTAACTTCAAATACTACTTCAACAATATTTCCAATCAAAATACTCATTAGAATTCGAGTTACAACTTAATTCTAACAAAATCAAATAAATAATTTTTAATAAAAGGAAAGCAAACCTGGAGGTGACTCTTTAAATGAAATAGAGTCCGTCCCTTAACACCCACCAATTTCCCTATTTATACATTTGGAGCTGACACCCTGAATAATACCCCCTACAAGAGAGGGGGGCTCACAATTATTTTATTCTAATGTGCTACAAATACACCATTTTTAACAACTTTCTCGATAGCCCTTTCACATGTAGGAGTGGGCCTATGAATAAAATAATCACGGACCCTATCATTTGCGAGAGAGCTGTAAATGTATACAGCACTTGGTATTGTACATATATCATTTTCCTATTTTATTAGAACCCTTCTTCACATACAAGAAAGGGAAATACAGAAAAGATATAGAATACATACATGCACGGGGTGGATGGTTTATTTTATTTTTTTCAATATAAAATTCACATGGGACCCACCGGGGTGTCAACATCGGATATACAAATAGCAAAGTTCAACACCCATTGTTCGCAATAAAGCCTTTGGGATAGCTTCTGTAAATGTACAAGTCAAACAATTGAAGAAATTCCTGTTCAAAACACATGAGATTTCAAATTCGAACTCCCAAAAAATAAAGTTTGCCTTAGGAAAAAAAATGTAATGATCAATGTCAACTTAAAGCACAATTATCGATGTCATGGATGCAAAGACAGTGCGATCACAGGCTGCACAAACTGTTCGAAAGATTTATAATTGAAGAACTACTGATTGAAAATATAATTACGGTGGTTGCTTAATAACGAAAGTCAAGCCTGGAATAACATTAGCACTGTTACGCCCCTATCTGATCCGCCTCGAAACACGTACCACCATAGATTCTGACCTGATAAAGACCCGTTCGAAATGTTTCCGAAGTGATATCAGCAATGTCTTCAACCTAGTAGCACGCTGCGAAGTACAGGCGATCCCTACTACTAACCTGACCGAAGCACCTCGCCCTTGAGGCCGATGCCAAGTGGACCCCGGTTAGAAGATCTATCGCCAATTTCAGAAAGAGATTTGTGCTAAGATCCTTTCTGCACCTAAGGTTTAGATTGATTTGACGTCTCCATGAGGCTAGTTAATGTGACTTATCAACTTTATGTCAATTCAACTCAGGAGAAATAAGTTGTCCACCCACTCTACAGACGCGGCTGATTAACGCCTATGAGCGGACGCCTCATACCGTCAGATGTATACATGTGTCCCACATCCAACGGCTCATCCCACCTATAAATACCCAAGGTTTGACAAGAGGCAAAGGTAATGAAACTCCTACTACATAGCACTCCATAGCAAGCTTATATATTTCTCCTCTCCCTTATCATTATTTTGCACAACCCCTGGGTACTGTTCCGACCACCTAAATCTGACTTGACTGTCGAAGTGTATATGGCTGCCACCAGCCCCGCTGGTCTCGACCGTGTACGTGTGCGTCTGACCCTTTCGCTGATTGTGCGCAGGGAGGAATAAGTGGAGTAGCTCTCAGTTGGCCATGTGGAAGGACCAATTTTCGAGGTCAACAGATTGGCGCCGTCTGTGGAAAGAACTTCCCATTCAAAGTTTTGCATTCTCCATTGGAGAAGTTACCGGAAAATTAGCGACTAACTCTGAAAAGGGGACGTTCTTAAAAAAGAACAAAGTCAAGTTATAATCCAAGTTCTCATCACCCTTGAAAAAGGAGGTAGCAGCTATAGCCATGAAGACGACAACACCATGAGAGAGGCCTCTGAAGAAGAGGTACTCCATAACAATGTTACTCATCAGAGACCACATCACCGGCGTCACCGAGGTGGAAGAACAGCCATATTCACTGAAAGAATGGCTCAGATAGCTGCGGGTATGAGAGACATCGCAGCTCAGAATATGGCAATGCATGAACTCCTCATGCAAGCCCAGGGTCATCAGGGCTATCAAATGCCCCAAGGATCTTACCCGGTGCGGGAAGCTCCTGTATCTCACTCCCAAGGCCACATGAGCCGGCACACAGAACATCCCCTCGAAAGGGAGATGAATGCCGAAGTCACATCTTATTTGTAAGGGAGCCAGCCATCAGAACCATACTTGGGGGATAATTTTCCTCAAGAACATGAGGACCAGAGGTCGGTAAGCGTCTTCGACCGGATAGGGAAGGGTCCGCCCAGTAAGAGGATCAGTTCGTCTAGATCACGAACAAGAACATGCTCTCCCTCCTCCTAGAAATAGGAAAAATAGGAGGAACCTAGTCAACTGAGGAAATCGAGGAGAAGCACCTCCACCTCCCTAGAACATTCAGGATGATGAAGGGTCAGATGGGCCCTGTCGATCTTATGAGATCGACGACGATGATGATAATCTCCCTTTCTCAAGGGAGACCCGAAGCTTCCCAATGCCAGCAAATTTCATGCCCCCTAAGATCCCCAAGTATGAAGGAAAAGAGGCCTGGAGAAGCACCTCACCAAGTACATGACACATATGAGCCTTAGGGGAGTCTCGCCTGCTTTGAAATGCAAAGCCTTCCATTTAACGCTAGGTGGGGCTGTCGAAGTATGGTATAGCAGGCTTCCTCCCCTAAGCATCAGAAGTTGGCCGAATTTGAAGAAAGTATTTTTGAACCAGTACCTCTCACGCAGGGAAGGAGAGGCACCAGTGCAACGCCTGCAAGATATGAGGCAGGCCCCTGAGGAGACGCTGAAGAGCTATCTTGCCAGGTTTACAAACGAAATCACCTACTGTGAACAAGTCACTAACAGAGAGGCCCTTTCAGCCCTGAAAGGTGGGCTCAACATGAACACTTTGTTCTAGAGGGACGTGCGTAGCAAAAATTCCTCCACATATGACGAGATGGTGAAAATGATGAGAGTGAAAATTGTTAGTAAAGAAATGATTGATCATCGCAATTGTGC